TGAGTAACTACAGAATCTCAGGATCATGGCATGACAATCCCAATCAACTGAAGGAGTGACTATGCCAGCAAAATGCATTGTTGAATCTTATGCAGCCAAATGGGAGCTGCAACAGCAAACATACCTTATCTTAGCTCACTCATGTGCACTGCTTAGCTGGTTCTACAGCTGATCCTCTCCTGGATACCCATCCCAAGTCCTCACACTGTAGCAAAGTGCACAGATTGCACGGGTACTATGAATCCCCCTTCTCCACCATCTAGTAACCCAAACCTTTAGAAACGTAGCTACAGGGTGCAAGTAAGGAAGGTATTACATTGCTTGTTCTGTAGGACCTATAATACAGAAGTTGATTTTCAATGCCTTGCCTGTATGACCAGTAGTTTCAATGATTTACTATATGGACTTAGACACCACCATCACTCGTGGGTGGAAGTGCAATATTATCTTTCCACTCATGTTTTAGAGACACCGTCTTCATCCCGTTTTCTTTTTCATATTAACAGACTAAAAGCTATGTGTGATTATCTTCCCCTTGTAAGTACTTTCCATGCCTAGCACTGCTACAGGTGCTGCTGCATGTCAAAAACAACGTGGATCATCAGGCAAGGAACACAGACATCATGTTCATGTAGGCTGGAAACAACAAATTTCTTGATTGATAACATTGGAGAAGGGGCAGGGAATGAAGTAATCCAATTCCCATGACTGAAACTGAAATGGCAAATTTGAAAGCCACAAGCTTCGTGAATTGTGATGAAAAGAGAAACATTAGCATTTTAGACAACCTCCTTAAAATAGAGACAGATTCTCATAAAACAACACACATTTCCTAAAAGCATTTTAGTCTTCCGCTGGAGAATATTAACTCTAAAGGTTTTCTGAAGATAAAGAAAGGCAGAAGAGCTGATTAAGATCTGTTTATTTCCAAGCAGCATGTGGTGGAAGGTTCTCTGTCAGTTTGCAAATGCCCCTGCCCTTCATTTCACCCTGATATCTGTCCATCTGTATTTGTTATGAGCAATAAAGTAATTCATGCTCGTTGTCACATCGTGGAAGAAGTTTCACACCCCAGCAGCTGCAAACATAACATGTTCTGAATCAGCGTTGCTTCTTGAAAATTTCAATATGCCTTTTTGACTTCTGATGTTCTGTCCTCTTCCTTGAAATTGCAAGTCATCTTTCTAAAGCAAGGGCTTGGTCTTTCAGTTGATATCTCTCCATCTTCCTTTCCACAGAGGAGTTTAATAATACTTCCAAAATATTAGAGATTTCTTTCCTCACAACACATACAGGAAGGAAAATATGAGCCTTTTGTGAAAGATGGGGAAACCAAGACAAGATGAGAATAGTCAACCTGCTCATGGCGATGTGAAAAGCTTGTGGAGGAGTGTATAATTGAATCTATATTATCGGGCTTTCTGGCCAGCCCTTTAACCACACAGCACTGCTTTTGCTTTCAGAACTGCTTGTTCTCAAG